CTTTATTAGCAAAGAAGTATAAAAACTTCTTGCGAATATCTTTTTTGTGTGTGGTCAGAGGATCAGCGGAAAGAGTTATCTACTACTATCTAAGAAACTTTGTATTATTTAAATTTAAGGTTAAAATGATATAAGCAAAATTTCTTAGAAAAAATTGAAAAAGAATACTATTAGAGCCTATAAAGTAATAAACAAATAGAAATTGAAGTCTTTTATTATATTATAAACTTTATATTATTTTTTTAATAAGTGAGTAGATAATAATATTTTAGTTTTTTTTTCTTTTAAAATTTTTTTGTCATTAGTAAAAAGATATTTCATAACTTTTAGACCATTAGTGATTAAGTTTTTGTTTAAAAAGAAATATAAGTAATAGAGAAAAGGTAAAAGGATAACCTTTGAAAAATTTTTTAAGAAAAGTATTAAGATTTTATTAGCAAAAAATATAATAGTATCTTGTGAATATCTTTTTTGTATATAATCAAAAAATTAATAAAAAGAGATTTTTTGATTTTTAAATAATATATATAATATAAAATATAAAATTATAATTATAAAATCTGAAAAATCTTTATTTGTTTTTAAAAATAATTATCTATTTAACTATTTAATTAAAATTTTATTTTATTTGGTTTAAACTAGTTTAACTAATTTCATATATTTTTTAAATAATATAGTTTTTCAACTAATAATATATAATGGTGATTAATTATTATTATTATTATTTTTACTCTCTGTTAGGCTAATTATGTGTGCTTTATTAAACAGTAATTAATTATTATATAAATATTCAATATAATATTATAAATATTTATTAAATATATTATAATATTATATTTATATTTATATTTTTTAAAAAAAAAAATTAAGAAAAAAAATTAATTAGATAATACTTTATATAAAAAATGATTGAAAAAACATATTGACTAATAATAAAATAATATTTTTTTTTATTTTATAATCTATTAAAATATAGATACAAAGATACACATTTAATTTATAATATATTAAAAAATTGAAAAAATTGTTTATTTAAAATGGATTCTTATTAAAAGTAGAATGAGTTTATTTTATTTTTAAAATATGATGAATAATAATTTATCTTTATATTGAAATTATATAAAATTAATATAAATAAATTGAAAAAGTATTTTAAGATAATTGATATCTTTCAATAGAACAATAATTCAAAGTATATTAATTAATTAAGTAGTAAAAAAAATTTTTTTTCAAATAATACTTTTATATAATTTTTACTTGAATTTTATCAAAAATTTATAAGCAATTATTAAATGAAATACAAAGAAACAAATAAAGCTTAAAAACAAGATAAATAGATTAAATATTAAAACTTAACAATTATAACACAATTTTTATAGCCCAATTTTTATAGCCCAATTTTTATAACAAAATTTTTAAAGCACAATTTTTATAGCACAATTTTTATAGCAAAATTTTTATAACATAAAAATTTCAATTTTTTTTATTATATACTGTATATAAAATATCATAACATATTTTTTTTATAATTTTTTTTATAAGATATTATATCTGATCCAAATAAAATGATATAAAATATAATATACGACATTAAAATAATTGATATGTTTAAAATCAAATACATACAAATCATCATCAAATATTTATGCAATAATTATAAAAACCGATGGATATTAAGGAAAAATTGTGCAAATATGATATGATGCATGTAGAAATAAACATATCACAAGTTGAAAATGAAACCGGTTTCAAGTGAGAAAGAAAGAAAATCCCTTACTGCATATCATACGAGTTAAATCATAAAAGATTTTTTTGAAATACTATTAGAAATTTTAAATTACTATTTTAGTGAATTCATAATTGATAAAAGAAGGAAGATTCATTTATGCCAGATCCATCAATTTAAGTTTAACAACCATTTTTGATTTTACAATGAGGGGTAAATTAATTTTGCAGTATATAGTAATCAGTGAGTCAATAAAGAATGGACGTGAACGCTTCTTTTATCATTCCAGAATTCAATTTTGGATCGATCTGATTGGTTATCGAACCTTGAGAATGATAAAAAATTGAAACTAATTTAAGTCGGGTGAATGAAGTGGTGTAACGTTGTGACAATGCATATCTCTCTATAAATATTAAAAAATTTCGAATTGGAAACCTAGAGAACGAAGCTTGTTGTTGGGAGGCCCCACGGAATGACTCGAGACATTTATATTAAATAAAATCTATTATTTATAGGAATAGAAACCTTTTTTTTTGATCTTTGGATAAGACCCAATGTGTATTGTTCGTTAACCTTTAGAATATTTATTTTATATAGAGCTTGTCAACTTGAATAAAAAATGGGAAAGAGTGATAGCGCACGCGGTGCGTCCATGCGTGGGGAAGGAACAACAAATCGTGGAAAAAGCTCCACTTTAGTATCTAGAGATTCACACCACCAGTCAATAGAAAGTAGCGTAAATAAAAATTCCAATATCATGAAAGAATCAAAAGCAACAGTAAAAGGGAGCAAACCGAAGGGCGCGAGATCAACAAAGTCGGATCCTACACCTTCTTTCAGTAAAACTACTGAAGTTGATGGTGATGATGGTGGGCTTGGGCTTATAGAGCGGGAAATGGAACAAGCGTTGAAGGGAATAGATGGAAACGAAGGAACCGAGCAGGTCAAAAGATTCATCTTGGGCGGTTGTTCGAGCAAGCGTTGCTTTGAGGTGATAATGACACGTGCTGTAATGAAGAAATTGATCAGAGCAAAGGAAAAGGGCGCGGCCATGAAATTAAAGATATCAGATAATATTGTAATTATTTGTCCCTCATTGATGATAAGAAACGACGTGTTGTGAGCTCTCTTCTTTGTTCAAATGTTGACTCTTATTCGTTTAATAGGAAATTAGTCTCGGCGGAAAAAATAAAATCTCATTTTCAAAAAATGTGCCCGATCGAATGTCAACGATATTAGCTTTAAATGGAGATGATATGGAGGTTGTCGGAGATGTCACCCAACAGGTGATCAGCACCAAAGAGACAAATCATGATGCGAGACTTGAATGTTCAAAGAGAAATCTGCAGATTCGAACCAAAAAGATTGAGAAAGAGAAAGAAAAGAAAAAGTTTGTGTATTCTGATAAATAGGGATTTTTGAGGCGGATTGGTTTTACATAAGGTGACCTTGTTTAGTTCTGATTACTTTTTGCAGGGTTATAATGCTCGAAGGCCTTATACCCGATCCGGAAGTGTCCAAACAAAAACGTCCGAAGTTGAAGAAAAAGGACAAAGATTCGACTACGAAAATAGTCACATATATAGGACCCGGGGAACCGCCCCCAAGGTTTTCCATTGGGAACGATGATGATCCAGGAGTTCCATTGAAGAAAAGGGTGATTCATCTTGTTGCACTGGAGGAATTAAATACGGAACAAATAGCGAGCAGGGTCCAAGATAATGTACAAAATGTTCAAAAAATATTGAATGAGGTGAGCGAAGAAAGGTTTCTCATCATTTGTTTGCTATCTTTTGCGCGCGTATACTGTATATCATAATGAATTTTTGTTATTCTGTAGACTGCAAGTTTAAAAGGAGACGCCTGGAAACTTAAAACGGAAACATTGTTGACACTCGAACCCTACAACTTTGCGATGTATGACACTTCGAAGATTAACAAAGTGGTTTCGATGATGAATGATGCGGCCGACAAATTAGGATATCCGCAAGATTCACCTGTACGACCGCGTCCACCGAAGCAAATAGCACTTAATAAACACCAAAATCCTGCACCAATTGAATCCAACGTGCCAAGTAAGCGACCAAGAATTGAAACTTCACCAAGTTCCAGCACATCCAAATCTGTGACGCAACCTGCGAGTAATAGAGGAGGAAAAACGACCGTTCATGTTAATAATGGTGGGAAAACAAAAGGGAGAGGATCCAAAACCAGTAATGCCAACAATACCTTATCGGCACAACCTTCCACAGAGGTATCAGATGATATCTTGGATCCTGCGGCTAAAGCTAATAATACTGTTCGCGGAGGGCATGCATCTCGGGGAGGAAAGTCGACACGGCCTCGCGGAGTAAAGACGATCACCGATCAATCAGCAGGCCACGCAAATCAGACAAACACATCCACACGAGGAAGGAGGGGTAGACCTGTTGGGTCGAAAAATTCTACATCTCGCAAGATAAAAACGACAAGTCAAAAAACCACGGCACCATCCAGAGAAGTGACGACGATACGAGCCATGACAACTTCCGCTGTCAACGTATCGGGCGAATTGCCGCCCGTAAAAAAAAGCAGCAATGTCTCCAAGCGGAGTCCACGTCACGTTGAGACGATGAGTGAATTCAGAGAGTTGCTTAATCGCTTCAACGAAAAGTTGAAGGCATATTATGAGTTAGATGCGCGACTCGAGAGGCATGTTGAAGCAGCAAATGAAATACAAGCCGACATTCATAATCCCCATTTATCTGTCAACAATGAGCGTATTATGGAGAAGTTTAAGAATCTATTTGATGAGGGAACCGAGGTTTATAAAGAAATCGAAATGTTTAATTCCTTAGAGGAGGAATTAAAGATGATGGTTGAAGAGGGTATTCGTGCAGCCAAAGAGGGCGTCTATGACGAGTGAGCAACCTTATTATGTATGTAATCAGAGGATTAAAATTAATTACGAAATTTGCGCCTGGCTTCTTTTTTTTTTCTTTTTTTTTTTTTTTGGCACGAATATTTTTAGACTATGCATAGTTTGGACATTACAATATTTTAACATCGCGGAGGGGTTATCAAAAAAAAATCAAGGACATTAAAGATAAGGTATCAATAATCGGTTGCTGAATGTTCAGGCATAAAACCTAGTAAAATAAATAAGACACCATTACTATCATAAGTCATTAAATAGTTGATGGGAAGAATTATAAGATAGTCTTTATTAGCGATTGACGCGTGGCCTCTCCAAAAATCACGAATGTTGACGATCGCAGCCTCAAAAAATTGACCGAACCATGTCTCATTCCCCAAGGAAAAGGCTGATTGTTTTTACTCGAAATTTGAACTTACGTGCTCGGGAAGCCGGGCTGAAATAAAATATTAGCCAAGCATTCTTTTAAACGTGATGACAAATTATGGTTGCCGGTGAATTAAAGGTTTTTCGTGAATCATGATTCTATGTATCGATCATGCTTGCACTCGATGATCATTTCATTTATTTCGTAAAAGGTGTCTGTAAGACTTGATAATCTTTCTTTCGTACCTTTCTTTGCTCCATTAATACCATCAGACATGTTAAATTATGAAATTCGACTTTTGCAAGGATACTTTCATGCTAAGTGAAATAAATAGGTTTAAGGCTTTGTCATGTAGGACCTTATATATTCCAACATTTAAAAATAGAAATAGATGGGAATTTTGACGACCGTCAAAATAGGGAACTTGTCAATAACCTTGGGTAGATTTACGTTCTCTTGAAATTCGCAAGTTCCATAGATCAAACGAAATCTTGGTTAACCAGTTCTGACCTTACACAATTTACTAACCTAACTAATTTATTTATTCTCTAAGCCCATCAAAAATCGACGAGATTTTTCAAAATCGAGTTACCCGTCATACGTGGATTCATTTATAAAGCAAGCCACTGTTGTGGAGCCTCTTTAATGAGCCTCCCTCTCATGACATTACTAAGCCATTATTAGCATTGTTTTTATTTCGAGACCGGGAAAGAGAGATCATCTTTATTTTCCATTTCCTAGTCTTTCGAATAGCGAAATTCTATTTCCAATAAAGAAGTTAATAAAGCATTGATTGGGATTCACATTTTCTCTTTTTGGATAGAGACCCATAAAAAATTATGAATTGCGCGCCATGTGTGCAAGAAAGTGCTCACACATCACACTACCAACAATCCTAATTTCTTTCTTGGTGATTCTTTGCAAGGCGATTGAATTCCAAGAAGCACAACCAGGTTTACAACTCCATAACCTGAAAACATACGGAGATGGAACTGTTTTGGTCAACATGATAAACCCTATCAATGAAAACTGTACCCAACCGTCGCTTTATTTCCGATTGATTTATCCCAATGGAACACTCGAATCGATTGATTTAAATGTCACAGGAATTATTCCCGACTTCAATTTTTGTCGGATCGGTGTGAACGGTGTATATAGATATTATCTGGACTTTCACCCTTTGATATCGCAGCATATATTTGTTACATATGTGGATTCCGAAAATGCAAATTCAGCTAATGTGTACGGACTCTTGATAACATGGAATGGGGGAATTATCAGGTTGACGAGGAAATTCTAATTTTTTTTAAAAAAAAAGTCGCTTGCAAATATTTAATCTTTCGCTTGCGCTTTCCCTAGTTCCTATTATCTGAGCGCCGCCTCGGTCACAAACGGAAGCACGGTTTTACCTCCTGGGGAATTATATTTTTCCAAATTCTCGGAAAACATCGGTTTCCTGTATACCGCGGCTGAACCTGACTCCGGTGACATTCAGTGGTATCTTTACACCATGCCGTAAGTCCAACACACTCATTCGTAAAGTCGATTGAATAAGATTAATGTTTTCCTCTAATGGGAAAAAATCTTTGAAGCACCGCACTCAACGATCGACGCATAACTCTTCAACGAAGTGGAGCCATGCAAAACACCGGAGGAGATCGGGTCAAATACGTTGCATTCCCGACGTCGTCAGGGGATTATTGTTTGGTCGTAGCGCGTTCCTACAACTTGATCAAATCATTTAATAGCTCTCAGGCACTTTCTGTGGATGTAACATTGGAAGAGCACCTGAAGATTTATGCCAATTTCATATATTCTTCGGAAAGTGGAAACGTCGTGCCAATCCTCTTGTATACGAGTCCCGTTCAAGATTTGGATTTTTTCGCGATGAATTGTGGCGTTGAGTATAGTGGCCTTGGTAATATGTGCCAATTTTACTTTATCCAAAATGGCGTGACGATATATAACTATACCTTGAAAATCACGTTCCTCTCCACTGGGTAAAGTGAGATTTCTTCTTTCTCAGGGTTTGCTTTCGAAAATTTCTCCTCCATCTTTAGCGTCACTCGAAAATATGTAGGGCCGTGGACACTTTGGTGACAAATACTCTGAGTTTTAACATTACGTCAACGGATTACCTGTCCGTCGACGACCTGTTTTATCAAGGGCAGCGCAAGCTCCACTTTATCTTTATTCGTTAATTTTCCCAAATACGGTTTGCGGTTTTTTAATTCTTTACTTATTTGTTATTAGCTATCTGGCAACTGTTCATAGACCTCGGACGGTAGGGCAGAATGTATATGGGTACATCCTAAATGCAACCGGAAATCTTGTGGATGAGTGGTAAGCACAAAAAAATCCTGATGATTTGATCCGGAGGTTAAAATTTTCACATCACTTAAAGGTCATTGCCCCAACCATTTCGAGTGAATTCTACGGGAGATTTGTATGGAGTGCAACCAAATAATTCGATTGTCTATGCGCAACAGTTTAACGCGTCGAGTTGGTCTTTGAGCTCCGCGAATATACCGGACATTTCGATGTTCAATGGTACCCTTCTCGTTCACCTTTTTTCCTTCTTGTTTTCGGAGAAAACGACCGAGAGAATAAGAAAGTAACGTGCACAAAAATATTTTCAAGACAGCGGCTATTTCAATCCACAGATCATTTCCACGTATCCACCGATCGATAGTTCAATTCCGTTAAGGGTCAACTCGATCAACATCACATACAAGCAACCAGTCTCTTTCTCCACGGGAAACATCGATATATTTCAATTGAGCGGGTCATACGGTGAAAGCCTGCTTCGTCAGGCTTATTCGGCCTCCTCAATATATTGTAATCAAACAGCGGATTTCACGACGATCACGTGTCAAGTATTGAATAGCACATTTAATAAGCCAGACACCACCTACTACGTGGTGATAGAGTCCGATTTTGTTCGTCTTAATTCCACCTCGGAACCATTACTGGGTGTTCGGAAATTAGTTTGGAAATTTACCACAAGTAAGAGTGTCCTCGTATAATCCCCTTGCAATGTACTTATAATATATGTGATATATCGTATTTTCTCTGTTGCCTACAAAATTTAGATGAAATTACACCGGAGGAGGTTGACGGTGAGATTTAACGACGTTCAAGCAGGCGAACCATGCCCACGACGTATTCAGCTAATGTTTTTTTTTTTTAATTTCAGTCGCCACAAGAAGCATCGTTCGTCTGAGCCCTTTGGGAACAGGAATATTTGAAAACTTGACGCATTCGGAGAAAGTACTATTTATTGATCAATTAAATTATGAACTTTCCGAGACAGTTCCGGTTGAGTCTAGTCGATTTGATAGTTTGTACACTTATCAACGGGATCCGAGTGTGCCAGACACGCGAATATTATTACCTTTAACGATAACTAACGCGACCCCGAACACCACCGAAGAGAGTTCGGAGCTGATTGCACAAGATTTGAATATTTTAATAAGAAATCAAAACATAACTTTAATTTCGAAATTGGTTTACGCTCATCTCCTGGATTCTAGTTTTGGGGTTTACCTCGCACGTGGGTAATCACAACCGATAGTCATCATAACAAGCTTTCTTTCTTTCTTCTTTTCTTCATTATTCTCTGATAACTTTCAAATCCTCGTTAGATAATCTATGGCGGGACTATCGCTTCATAATATTATCGTTCGTTGCGCTTATAGTTCTGCTGACGCTTATTTGTTTAGGTTTTTACTTCAGGAAGCCGTCGGTAAGAATACAATATATTTTTTTAAGAGTCCGGCGACCTAACCACGCAATTAACCGATCATTCATTCACAGGTGGAAGTAGGGCCCTTGCTCAAATTTCTTCTTTCCTTGATTAACCTCATAATGAATATTCTCTTCACGATATATTATGCACGCGCTGTGTGGCCACTCTATATTATAAGGTTTGCTCGAAACAACGTTAAAAATCTTGAATTCTTCTTACACACCACACCAACTCAATCATCTTTTATTCTCGCGATCCAGTCTCGTCATTATAATAGTGATGGTGACTTTAAAAGAAGCATTTGGATTATTCCTGATTCGTCGTGAAATTGATAGAACCAGTAGACTTCATAATTGGTGGAAAAAACATCGGTTTATCGTGTCTTTTTTCACATTCTTTTCGTTTGTGGATCCTTATTCGTTGATGGTGCTCACCTCGAAAATAACGAGCTCATCAAGATTTCATGCGCCATTCTCGTCGACCTTCCGGATGTGGATTTATTGGGTTGGGGTTGTCATCTTTCTGCTAAATGATGTATCCCAATTTGCAATCCAAGTGAGTTTGGCGACACGGACACGATCATTCCTTTATTTCGTCTTGCATGTTGCGCAAAATATTTCAGAAATTTTTGACGCCGAATTTAATCATTAAAATCGTAGATAATTTACCACAACCTGACACTACATCTCGACATTTTACCACTGCTAAGTCTCATAAGCGTGTCGGCCGTGATGATATTCAACGCATTCTGGAGAATCATTCTCATTGTATCCTATTTCCGCGTCCAGGACGATGAGATCGGCGTTCCGAGGGAAGGAATCAAAAGAGATAACGACGGATTTGGTAAAGGCGATCAACCCTACATCATTTTCGACACCAGTAACATTGATAAAAATGACGTTACGAAAGACACCTCAGGAGGACCTGCTATCATGAAATCCTCCACAATCAGTTGATTGTACGGACTGATAACGCATAGGATGAACCATCACTTCTCATTTCTTCTTGGGGTGAAGCGGTCATGTATTTTACAGGTGGGTTTTTATTTCAGCATGCACGTTCGGAAGTAACGTCATCGACGTGAGCATTGTGAAAATCACGTGAATGTTTTTCATCTATTCACAGACGGTTACACTTTATCAGAAGTTGACGGAGAATTTTCCACCTAAGAAATTCCAAAGATAGATTCTCATGTGCGCCAAAATTTCGCACACCCGAATTTTTGCGCCACACGAATATCTCATAATCGTAACACAGGTTTCACGTAATCCATTCCAAGTTTCGCATAATCCAAATATTTTGTGATTCTATAATCCAAAGTTTAATAATAAATGATTTTATGTAATTATTATTTTATTTTATTTTTACAAAAATTCTATTAAAAGTAAAGTATTGATTAATTATCATTGTGAATGGCATTTAAATTTGTTCTTTTATTTTTCAATTATGGACAATTGATTGATTATGGAAAGTATGATGATTATAACATTTGGTCTCTTTAACAACGAATCGAATCGATAAAACCCTTTATTTTACAAATCATCATTATCCATTTGTAGTGTACGGTGGATTGTTTTTATAATCAAAGAATTGGGTTTTCATTTGATCAATTTCAGATTTTTGGTCTTAAAAAAAATTATTAATCACCTGACACAAAGTGCTCATAGTAGGAATGTTTTTATTCTAGATTAATGCGAATGGAAAAGTAGAACAGCCACCAAATGTATGTGGTACTGGTGCAGATGATCTTCTGTTAAATGAAGCAACAAATATTAAAAACGATTGGTATATCGAGGTATAATTCCGTACGTACATGTATGTGTACATTACGTAACCGTGCATGAACCTATCACACCCTTCGTCCTAATTCATCGCCGACTTCCATTGGTGGTGATGATCATATGGATACTTACTTATCACGCGATAAAAATTTAAGAACATTTTGGGAAGGAATCCCCACTTTATCGAAGGTTTACGTTATCGAATCTTGATTACTTGTAGATAAAATTTGGAAATTCGTACAGAAATTTATCGCATGCCTGTTTATTTATTATACTCAAGGGACTGGATTGTTTTTAAGAATATTAATCTTTATTGAACATTCGCAGCTTCTTCCTGCAGTGAGAAAATATATAACTAGCAAATATTTGGGTACTTTTAATTATCCAAACTTTTGGAATAGTGATTTACGAAATGGCAATGAACCGACTAGCTGTATGCAACAGAATAATTACAGTAATTACACTCCCCTCCCCACAAACTAATGAATGAATGCCATGTCAATCCCATGACTCGTCCAACTTACGACTCTGCGCAAAATCGGATTTTTGACGTAATTTATACGAATTATATAAAGATAACTTAATTTCGTTTCTCCCGAAATTACCTTTTTTTTTCCACACATAAGTTTATCGAAGAATATATTTATTGTTCCTTAAATCACCATCAATGTAAAATGACAACAAATGGAACTCAAACTTTTAATTTACATGAGCTCCACATCATAACAGGTCTCGGTTTGACCTTTACCATAATAAACACCTTAGGAAGTTTGTACATATTTTGTCGTAAGTTCCTAATGGTTCGTTCAACAAAAAAAAAATATATATATACTGTATATATATTCAAATCATTTTTGTCATTATTTCTAGGAACATTTACAAGATGGTACTATAATCCAGGATCAGGTTTATCAATGACCTTAAGATTTCCATTTTATGTCGCAATTACAGGTACTTTTGCGCGCCATCTTTGTGAACCTTCTAATGGCAACTTGGCTCTTTTCTCTGAATAACTTTCTTCACCCCTCAGATTTTGGCATGAGCATGCCGTACACGATGAATATCGTAAGTGTATGCGTGTATGTTCTCGCTTTACTCTTTGATATGTCAAATATTCCTAATCTGTCGCAACCTCATTCAAAGGGATATACGGCCGTAAATGAAAGAACGTGGCCAATGCCAGAATGTTATTTCTTCGGTCTTGCTTTCATGACTTTTATATTGTTAAATTTATTCCTCATTACTTTCATGGCCACGACAACATGGTTTAGAGTAGTAAAAGAAACATACATCAATTTTGGCAAATGGGATTATAAGCTATGGTCCGCTGCATTGTTGCTGACTTTTCTCCTTGATTTCTTGGGCAGAAATGAGTTTGGACCGAACGAATATTGGTATGCATGCGCATTTGCATGTTTTTCTCTCGAATTTCCGATGTGTCATCTTGACAAAAGTTTAATGACGCCAACATTATTTTTAGGTGTAATTTGAGAAAACAAAGTCGCATCATTCCAATAATGCTAACATGCTTGATAACGGTCGTATTGTTAATACTGTTATTATCGTATTTTAGCGTGCTTTACACGATCAGCGAAATTGAATTAGTAGATTTGCCGAGCAATATTTCGACAGAGCACAATAAAATAGAACACAAAGTTTCTCGGAAGATATTTCAATATATTCTTGTATTCTTGTTGCAATACATACCGATGTTAGTTTATAGTATTTCTAGATTAATGGGGGTAAGGTGTCTTTTCCAATATGTTTTCTGGAAGAACGGGCGATCCTTTCAATTCGATTAACAAAAATCACTTGTCAATTCATTTTTAGTCTGAAAATTTTGTGCTGTATGCATTGGTCGTAGTAGGTACGTGAAGTTTTACTATTATTACTATTATTTTGTATTCTAACTTTGCCTTCACTCATTGCGCATTATCATTATCATTCCAACACATGATTCACGGCTCGATTATTCCCCAAAAGCATTCAACGCCGGAGGGATAGGAAACTTTTATCAATATGTAAACCTCGAAGGCTTCTCGAAACCATTGTTGACACAGACCGACTCCCAAGGTACTTTATCGTCAAACAACGATAATGGGTCCAGCAATGAAATGTTTCAGCTCAAAAAATTAGTAACGTCTGTCACAATATGAAATTGTAATATTCATTTAAATTATGAGAACAATGTAAAGTCGTAAGATTGTGTTATGCAAAAAATACTAGTATCTGTATTCACGTATTCGGCAGGAATACATGGCCATGCATGGGCCAATTATTTACCTTTGAATCTGTTCTCTCGCTTATTTTCAATAACATGATCCAAAAAAGCCAGAATTGTAATTTACTTTAATTCAACGATTATTTGTTGAAATCCAATAAAACGTTATTTAACATACAGTATATACAGAATAATTTTTATAACCCAAGAAATAAGATATAAAGTTTCATTAAAATTTGTAAATAATTTTTTATACCAAGATTTCAATTTGAAGTTATAAAAAAGTCAATGATAGCGAAATTTCATAGGCGGAAATATAAATACAGTATATTTATTTATTTGGTGAATTTATTATTATTATTTTTTTTTTAACCTGGTCATGTGGGCTTTATTAAACTTAATGTATGTTATATATACTAATTACAATGTTACTAAAGTTAAATTGCCAACTCACTCACTCATCTTAGTTTATTATCAAACTCTAAATGCAACTTTGAAAGTGATTTGTTACTTCACTTATAGTTTGAATCAATATCCTTCTATTATAAACATCATTGCTTACAGTTTACCATTGCAAATTACAGGTCTAAGTTTTGACTAAGCTTAAAATCCAATCACTTCATGCCATTTTTAACTCCTATTATTATTATTTTAATAAAACCTTTACTTGAGCATTCTTCTTCTGTTATCTCTCTTTTATTTCTTATATTACTAGTTTTTCTTATAAATAGAACTTTATAGATCTCTTGATTTTATTTTTTAAAAAATTTTCATAAACTTTTTTTATACTATTATTTATTCACATCTTTTATTCTATACTTTTTTCTTAAAGTAATTCAGAACCTTCTTTTAATATTAAAGTATTAGATCTTTTTGCTATAATTCTAATTTTCTTTTCTTCATATTTTATTTTTTTAACTTTTATTAATAGATCTTTTCATAAGCTTTGTTATTACTTTTTTATTTCTCCTAACTTTTCTTTATTATTTGTTAAAATATTATTATAACTTTTCTTAAACTTTATCTTTTTATTTCTATCTTATTTTATAGAATTTTTGATATAGTATATTATATTTATTTTTCTTGATCAGGCTTCTTTAATTATATCTACATAATTGAATATTCTATAAAATGTTTTATTATTTCTTTTTAATTGTCACATATTAAATATTTATTACTTTTATATAAATTTAATCTTCTTATTATTAACTTGAGTATAATAAGCAACTTATTGTTAACAAATTTGATCAAAAAGCTTTTTCTTTATTTATTTATTTTTTTTTTATAACCCATGATCAGATCAGTACTATATATTTATTAATTATATGAAAAATAATAGAGGTATATAGGGCGATTGCATCATGGTTAAACTAAAAGACTTGTACTAACACACTCATCAATGACTTTCAATTTTCAAAAAAGCTTCAGTCTCTAAGTACAACCTTAAGAACAATATTTCATTTCATGATAGATTTTGAATGAATATTTTCCTAATTTATCTATCATTGCGAACAAGTTATCACTACTTATTATTTTTAAAAAAACTATACAAAAAAAAAAATAAAAAATAAAAGGAAAAGGGAATATCTAAAATTGTACAAATATGCTACATGAAAAAAAAAATAAAAAATAAAAATAAAATTGCTTTATATTCTCCAAAGGACTTCTATTAAAAACCTCTTCTCATTAGAAGACAATCTTTCTGGAATATCTTTCTTCTTCCTGACTATCTAAAAAACTTATCCATCCATGCTTTTGATTATTTTCTTGTGATTATTTGAGGTACTTATTGTTTACTCAGATCCAATGTCTTACTTAACACTTCCTTCCTTTCTTTCAGTCTTGATTTTGTATTCACCTACATAGAAAAAGGTGACTAATAATAAATCCCAAATTTTTATATAATTTTTCAGTCTTGTTGAGTAACTCCCGATATCTTTTAGTAGTCATGTCT